TTGGTTTGAGTTTTTTTCTACTAATTTATTCTAAACTACTAATTTATGTCCAAGTTTTTCTGATATTTTGGTGCTTTTTATTCCAATTTTAGTTCAATGATATTAGGGTTTTATCTTAATTTTTTCGAGATTATAGTAGTTCGATCTTTATAGTAAATATGTCTAGGAATGTTTGCAGAGCTGGGTTAGGGGTGGTGAGATAAGGTTAAAACTTGTTTAATTATGTTTGTATGGATTGGTATGGTTTGGTTTTGTTTGGTTCAGTTTTGATTGGTGTGGTTCGGTTCTTTTTTTTTTTTTTTTTTTTTTTTTTTTTTTTTTTTTTTTTGCAAAATTTGATGTTTATGGTGTTTAATATGAAAATTCGGTTTGGTTCGGTTTTTTTTTTTATGAAATTGGAATAAATATGGTTTGGTTTGGTTCAGTTTCAAAAGTAAAGTGGTGCGAAAATCGAAATAAATATGGTTTGGTTTGGTTCGGTTTCTAAAGTAAAGTGGTGCGGTGTGGTTTCTAAAATCTAGAAACCAAATTAGAGTAGTTCGGTTCCGGTTTGGTTTACCAAACCGAAAACCAAACTTTCGCCCCTAAACCTAGTGTAATTATAATATGATTATTAATAGACTTAGACTAGGTGCCTACGGTTGAAGATAACAGTTTAGTGATCTTTTAATCAAACCCTAATTAGCAAACACAAGCCAACCCCTCCCAAACTCCCTCTCACTTTCATCCGTCTCTCTCCCCTTGTGCCAGTGGTGTGTACGGTGATGGTGTTTGATTGTCCGTAAAAAGGTGGTGATCGTGGTTTTTCCCTTTCACTCGACCAATCTAGTATTGGTGGACGCTTGTTCAAATCCCTTGGACTAAGAAGAGTAGTCACGTTTGGGGCTCTATTCTCTCCCTGATTTTCTGATCGAATAGCTACGTGGAGATCACGCTTCAAAGGTATAATTATGTGATTCTTGTGTGTTATTCATGTGATCTTGGTTTAGGTGCTTATGACGTCTATTATTAAAAGGAATATCATGACGTCTAATTCGATCCAAAAAGGAGAACTCCCAAATCAAACCTCCGAAGGTTGCTCCTCATCGGAAATTTCAGTCAATAGCAGAAGTTTCTTATTGAAAAACCAAGGACAACCCTCAAGAATTCTGTTCTTTTCATCTTCGCTGAAGAATTGAAAAAATTCTTTTCCACCATTTGAATCGCCACATTATCTCTAACCTTCCGTACATTTAGCAGGGTGTGTTTCATTGCTTTGACATTATATGGCCGCACTGTTAGCAATTTCCCTAACAAGGTCAGGGAGATTCAAGCTTTCATATCATCATTAATTCCACAATCTTTAGACTCACCAATCACCATATTCTCCTCTGTTAAATGCAAATTCTCCAATTTTTTACAACAATTGAGACTCCATTATTAGCATAGGTACAAAGGCAAAGAAATTCAGGGAAAGATAGAAGAAATTGAGCTGAAAACCACCAAAAAAACTACGGAACAGAACGGAAAACAAGCCCTATACAAGGGGCGAGTGCAAACCCTAGGCGAAGGACTTGTTCATTTCTTACTTAAAAAAAGGGGATTCCAACTCAATTTTTAGATTCATGATTTGTTAGCAAACTACAAAAATAGAGATACCATATATAAACGTTTTCATCTACAGTAATCATATAACTAATATATATATATATATATAAAGCTAAAATTTTAGCCACGCCACGAGGCAGCGACACTTGGCGTTCAAACTTTTCTCCAAGTGTTGTGCCACTCAGGCGACATGTCATGATGGTAAATAAGATTAAAAAGTTATTAAAGTAAAGATAAAAAAGCTAAGTTTGTTGTAGAAATAGATAAAAAAAAAACTTTATTAATCACACGTGGATACAACCTATTAGAAATAAAATAACATTGTTTTTTCATGAGTTTACATCTTCTATCAAAACATATTGTCAACGGGAGATTAGTAGAGCCCATATGAGATTTTATGCCTTTAATGTGTGACATAATGCTCATTGAATAGAGATCTTAATAGCGTTTAGTATTAATAAAAAAAATAAAAATTAAAACTTAAAAAAGGAAAAATAAAATTCATTTATGTACTCCATAAAACCATAAGGAACCAAACCAAATTAGATTAGTATGTGTTCAATGCTAAGAGTATTAAAAATTTAAAAGTCTAAGATTACTCAAATTGTATTACAAATATCATCTTTTATACACGATAAAATTTTATAATTACACTATCCTATATAATTTTATTTATCAATAATAAAATCAAAGTAATATAAGAATTCTATTCATGTGAGAAAACTAATGATTAAATTCAATTAATATAAGAGGAGTCAAATTGATGTTTCTATAAAGTTATAAACCATCAAACCTCACCCTTGCCCTCAAACCTCACCCTTGCTCAACAACATTTGTTAACACTCAATTTGCGCACGCACTCTCTTGCTCTTTGACGTTTTATTTTTACATTCATGACTTTAACTTTTAACAGGTACAAAGTATATAATTTAAATTTTTTTAACAAATATTAAAGCCTTTAATTTTCATTAACACAAGTGAAATTGCGAATACATAATATTAATCATAATTTCTTTACTTTTTCAGTTTTTTCACCATAATTTTTAGCACAACCAATGGCTTTTAAAAATTGGTAAAAGGTATCACTAAATTGCATAATTTTTAGTACTAGTATGTTTAATCTGTTAATTAGAATAGAGTCAACTGCCAATTTAATCGACTTGGTCAATAGTCAGATTTTTTGTCCTTTTATATTTTGTATGTAATTAACATGTGTTCTTTTTTTTTATATTATGAATTTTTAGAAACAGGGCATCGATGGAACTAAACAACTACAATCTCATCAAGTACTCGGAGATTAACAATGAGGTAAAATATTGGACTTTAAAAGTAAGAATTACTAGTATGTGGGATGTAATTAGCCCAAAGAACTGATGGTATTGACATGATACTAGCACATGAAGACGTAAGCATTTTGCACAAACAATATTATGTATTTTTCCGATAGTTGTTTTAATCTAATATGTCTTTGAAAAAAAAAAAAGAGCTAATTAAGCTACTGAAATAGGATCAACACATACATGCTTCAATTAAAAGAGAAGATGCATATGATTTTAGAGAAAAGCTCAAAGACGGATGTATTTATATTATTAAGCACTTCAATGTGACACCTAACTAGAAAGAGCGGAGGATTGTCACAAATGAGCACATGATATTTTTCAATTTTGCAGCCTCCATTCAATTACTAGAGGAAGATGATCCAAAAATCCCTAGACATAAGTTTGAACTGGGAGATGATGAGTTAATCAAGCAACGATGTAACTCAATTGTTCAACTCACGGGTTTTTATAAATTTAGATTACTATTCAAACTGAGTCTTTAATTATCATTATATATACCGCATATAATTGTTCTAATTTATTTATTATATGTAGATGTGTTAGGCCAACTATGAGGAATTGGAGATCTAAACATGAAGCCGGGAAGGTCTTTGGTAATAAACTCGGTAATAAACCATAAAAAAAAAAAAAAAATCCCATTCCAACTTTATTGAATTGTTTTGGGTTTTTGGTAAGTTTTAATTTTTCAATTGTTGTTTTGATTGGTTGTATATTACTTGATGAAAATTAATGTATTAAACTTTCTGGGTTTTAGTGTTGAAGAATGACTTAGTTTCAATGTGAAGACAATGACTGTACTTTCACTATTTTATCGCCCCACTTTTATTTTTGTAACATTTAATTTTTTAGTCCCTGAAATTTTGTTTGATTAAGTTTTGGTTATTTATGTATTGGACTATTATTTTACATAAATATATATACAAGCACCTTATTTTAAAACACTCTTCAAATGAAATTTTTTTTGTACTACTTAGAACCTGTTCTGATTTACTGAAGTGATTGAAGCTGATTGAACTAAATCGAATTGAATATAGCTGAAATGAATTGAACTTATTGTAACTGAACTAATTGTAGCTGACTTTTGACAATTATATTTTATTTTAACATGACTATTTTAATCAAACCTTATAAATAAATTAACTCTCTGCCAATGAACATTTACATCAATAAATAAGGATTTATATCGAACCCAGGGCATCGCACAGGGTACATACTAGTTTGATAATATAAACAAATACGAACTTACAATAATGTCTATAAAAATATTTTTTTTAATGAATGATTGAGCGTTGATCAGACAAAGAACTACTTTACTAAACTAGGTTAGAAACTCATGCGATGCACGATTTATATAAAGCCTATTTTTAATTTGTACATTTTAAAAATAAATCGCTATTATACATGAATATAAATAAGAATTACATATACTTTATAATTTTAAATTTTTTTATTTTAATCAAAATTATGATATAATATCTGTTCAACATTGTCTAATTTATAGTTCTATGTAGAAGGTCAGTTATTAGTGTACTATTTAAAATTGTTTCAATTTTCTATGACAAATTGATAGATTTTAATAGCTTTATATATAAAAAAAAGGATAAAAAAGAAAAAAGATGACATCATCATTGATCAATATTGTTATGATTATGATGATTATTGATGAATAACTTTTACCCCAACTAGTTTTGTGCCCGTACGATGCCCGGGTTGTTTATTGAATTTTTAGATATATTGGGAAGTATATTATTTTAAGTGATTAGAACTAATTCCTTCGCTCCAGAAAAATATTATGATATAAAAATTAAATTTATATGATAATTTATGAGAGTTATAATCTAATTATTTTTTGAATAAATTATAATACAATTTGCACATATGAAATATTAGTACTTTATCAAAAATAAAACTCTAAATTAACAATTTTATCCTAAAATTCTATTCAAATTTGATTGAAAATAAAATTCTAAACTAATTATTTTATCCTACAAATAGAATTCTATATAAATCTATCCTACGTGGCACGACACTTGACGAAAAGTTGAAATGTCAAGTGTCGCTGCCTCGTCGCCTGGCTAAAAGTTTACCTTTATATATTAGTTATATGATATGATAGGCCAATATGGTCAATTGGCTTTGGCTCTCGCCTCTCGGAGTACTCCACATCGCTCCTCGTCCCTTATCTTATTTATCTCGCTAAGTAAAGCGACGAATTGTGAACTTCCATAGACCCAAAAAAAAAAAAAAGAGCCAATCAAAGGTCTCCTTCAAAATCCCTCATATTCATTCTATCATCTTCACTTCCTTCAATCTCTGATCATACTCCAAAACCCTAAAATCCTCCATGGAAGCAGCTTCTTGCTCTTTACAAGTGTACCAAGTCTCACTCTCTCCAATTCGCTCTTCACCTCGCTTTGTCACTTCCTTCTCTCGAATTTCTTTCTCTTCTAGTTACAAATTCAATCTCAACTCCTCATTTCGCGTCATTCGGCTCAAGAATCGCTGCTCAATATCAAGTAGCGCTGACATTTTCGTCGCGTCGAAAGAAAATGGGAAGCGTATTGAAGAGGAAGATGCGGAGGAGAGAGAATTTGACTTGAAATCTTGGATGCATTCTAATGGTTTACCTCCTTGTAAAGTTGTTCTTAAGGAAAAACCCTCACATAATTCTAATCACAGGCCAATTCATTATGTTGCTGCTAGTGAGGAACTTCAGGTTTGTATTTTTTGTGATAATTTGTAGTTGCTTACTTGCTTTTGATGAATGATTAAAATTCAACCCTCTTTGTTAGGCTGGTGATACTGCATTTTCGGTTCCGAATTCGTTGGTTGTTACACTCGAGAAGGTCTTGGGTAACGAAACTGTTGGTAGGCTGCATTTTCAGTTCTGAATTCATTGCTATTGCATTCGTCTAGGGAATTACTACCTCCGTTTTAAATTTATGGCAACGATTAGACATTTTCTACGACACTTTATGTCAAATCGTTTCAGATCAATTGCAAGGATTAGACATTTTTTTACTACACTTTATGTCAAATCCTTGCAAATAATTTGAAATGAAGGTAGTATACATGTAAAAAACTGTATTCTTAGTACTATGTGTACAATTGTTTTAATTTTTTTTAGCAGCTAAGATTGGAAATCAGAATTTCAATTTATATTTACAGTTGTTGTTATATAGGGATCGAGTATGATGTGTTAACAATATTGATAAAATATTGTAATAATAATTACATTGAAAACGAAATTGTTATTTTACTGATTTCTTAGCCAGACGACTTAAGTCTCATAATTGACTTCATACCTTTGTGGCTGTGTGAATGTTTAATTGTTAAAATTTTCAATTCCATACTCAAGTTAAAATGTATACTCTGTTTTACAAGGACCATAAGTTTTCAAATCTATATCTCTAACTTTCAATTAAACAAATATGTTAACAGGTATATAAGATTGAAATATACTCAAGATAACTTCACTGAAGTGTAGAGTAATCCCTAGATCATGGTTAAAAAAAGTAACCTATACTATAAATAAATAGAGGAGTCAATATTATACGGAGTAACTTCTAACCATATTTCTGTAAAACTTCAATACTTAAATTCTACGCACTTTAACTTTAATCTAAAAAGTAAGATATAAAATGATATAAATATTTTTTTTTCTTTTTCTTTTTCTGGCATATAGGGTAGTGCATTAGCATAAATACATTCCAGTTTTCATTAAATTAAAAACAATGTTAGGAAACTACTTTTTTCATGGAAACTTATCGTGCTAGAATTTGTACATCCTCCGTTCCATTTTGATTGCTAACTTTGAAATTTTACACAATTCACGTAATTTTTTTGCACAATCTTTAGTGATTCTTGCTTAATGAAATTGTATAATGTATCAAATTTACTTTTATATAATGTATTATTATTATTTTTTTTATATCCTTTGTATATATTTCCTTAGATAAATCAAATGCATTCAAGTCTAGTTAACAATTTAAATTTTGGAAAAATTGCCACCATTAATCCCAATTTTGTCTCGTCTGCCAATATTAATCCCAACTTTCGTTATTCACTATCACTCCTAACTTTGTACCCCGTTAATTTCTATCACACCCAAATGACTTAGAACTGGTTGGAGAGGTAAATTTTGTTGACTTGTGATTTGTTGCACACGTGTTACATCATGATAGGTTAAAATTTTTTTTTAAAAAAAAATAAAAAAAAAACCACAGCCACTTCCACCACCACCACCACCACCTCCCCTTCCCTCGGCCCCAGCACCTCCTCCTTTAGTGTTACTCGCAAAATCACCAAGGGGGTGGTCGAAATTCGCCGGAGAAGGCAGCGAGGTGTACGGATTCGATGGGGAAGGGATCAGACGGTTGAAACGGTGGAGGAAGGGGGTGAAAACGAAGGGAGGAAGGGGGCGAATTGGAGGGGAAAGAGGGCGAATTGGAGGGAGGAAGGGGGTGAATCGGAGGGGGAAGGGGGCGGAAACGACCACCCCCTGCCGGAAACAGCACGCAGGGGTCGCCTTGCTGCCTGAACGACAGGGGCTGCCTCCTGCCTGAAACAGCAGCGGCTGCCCCTGTCGGTTCTGGCAGCGGCTGCCTCTCTGTCGGAAATTGGAGGGCTTGCTCGCGCCGGAAACGGCACGCAGGGGCCGCCCTGCTGCCCGAACGACAGAGGCTGCCTCCTGCCTGAAACAGCAGGGGCTGCACCTGTTGGTTCTTGCAGCGACTGCCTCCTGTTGGTTCTGGCAGCGGTTGCCTCTTTACCGGAAATTGGAGGGCCTGCCCGTGCCGGAAACGGCAGGGGCTCCAGCAGGCCAGGTTGTGGCAGCGGTTGCCTCTTCACCGGAAATTGGAGGGCCTGCCCCGTGCCGAAAACGGCAGGGGCTCCGGCAGGCCAGAATCAGCACGCAGGGGCCGCCCTGCTGCCCGAATGACAGGGACTGCCTCGTGCCTGAAACAGCAGGGGCTGCATTTGTCGGTTCTGACAGTGGTTGCCCCCTGTCGGTTCTGGCAACGGCCGCCCCCTGTCGGTTTTGGCAGCGGCCACCCCCTGTCAGTTCTGGCAGCGGCTGTCCGGTCTGGCTGCGGCTTCCTCTCTGCCGGAAATTGGAGGGCCTGCCTCGTGCCGGAAACGGCAGGGGCTGCTGCCTGGCAGGGCTGCCACCTTGCGTGAGGGTTAGGTTCTTTTTATTTTTTAGAATTTTTTTGGGACCTATCACGTGTTGATATTAGGTTAGATTACCGGTTGGGTGTGATAGAAATTAATGGGGTACAAAGTTGGGAGTGATAGTGAATAAACGAAAGTTGGGATGAATATTGGTGGACGAGGCAAAGTTGGGATTAATGATGACAATTTTTCCTTAAATTTTTTTCTATTAGGTACAAGTATGAAATTATTTTAAACATGCAGATAAAGAAAACAAAGTACTTGTATAATGAATCAATTTAAAGTGTAATTGTGAACTTGAAATTAGTTGAGAAAATTATAAAATTTACCAAACTTATTTGTGTCATTAACCATGATTATAGTGGACCTTAGAAAGCAAATCCAGAAAGCAACATCCAAAGACCAAGATCTGTAGATATGGAAGTAATACAACATAGAAATTATCAAAGAAAACCTTAAAATAAAATAAAATAATATTATACCAGCTGAAAAAAAGGATATGTTTAAGAAAATTAGCTACAAGAACTACACAATAACATGCTAAAAAATATTTAAATATACACTTACATCATCATCGAAATAAATTGGTTTGATGATGAAACTATGTATATGACAAAAGGTAAATTTAATTGGGGATCAAATGAAATTGACGTTGAACAAATGCCTCTGCTCCTAACTCTTGTGGTTAAATTTGTGAAATTGAGATGTGAAAAGGGGAAGGATATAGGGAAAGAAGGATAGAAATGCTGCAACTTTGGAGAAGAGGCACGTGTCGGTTTTGGATAATGGTTTTAAATGGTATAAAAACTCGGCCGTGATGTCACATTTAGCCTGTAACGAAATTTGAAGTTACTGAACCGAGATTTAGCGTTTTGTAACGGGGTATTTAAAAACACCGCATTTTTTTTACTGATACGATACACCTCTGAATCGCGCGAGATATAGGCATATAGCTTAACTTTGCAAGTTTAATCATTTAATTGAACATGTATTGCAGCTTCCAAGGTTGCGAGTTTGCAAAGACTCCATTGTTAGCTTGTTGCAGTCTCTAAAGAGAGAGAAAAAGGCACAAAATTAAAGACTAAAATACTGGGGTAGGTGGAGCGGGAGTTAGGTCGACAGTTGTCCACATTTTGTGGTTTTTTTTATTTACATCTTTTATTTATTTCTTTACTTTTAAACCCCACTAAAGCTTAGTTTTAAAAAGTGCCCCTTAGGCGCGCCTAGGCGCAAGGCTCACAAAGGCACAGGTTAGTGCGCTTTAACCGTTTCAGGCGCAAGCTCCTACCAAAAGTGTGCGCCTTGGTGCGCCTCAGACTGCCTTTGCCAAGGCGTAAGGCGCTGCGCCTATGTCGCTTAATAGTCAAACGCGAGAGAGAATGAAGATTTGAGCAGAAACAGACCAAAAATTTTGCAAATTAAAACTTCCAGTCTTCATTTTACAGTTTCGAACAAAAAGCATGGGGGTTAGTTTTATGAATTAGCTTTAATTTTACCCCTAAATCAAAAGCCCCAAATATCAGAAACCTTAATTTGTACATTTCGAAATAATTGGGGAAATTAAATGTGATTCCAGTGGATTCCAGCACCGGAATAATACATTGTCGCCGGCAAGCTCTCCCACGTCAGTCATCCTTTTTTCTCTTTTTTGATCTGTTTTTTTTCCTCCTTCGATCTTCTTTCTATGTTTCTCTCTCCTCACACCCCTTTCCGACGCAAACCATCTTTTACCTATTTTTGTTTTTTTTGTTTTCCTTTTAAGACTTTATACTAACCTCATTTCTGTTTTTATTTATTTATTTATTTAAGTCTATTGAGCTTTTTATTTAACCAGTTTTATTTTTTTTTTTTCTTTAAACATACATAATACTTCGTACTAAGAAAGCAGTAAAATATATATAAATTAAATATTAAAAATTATGCGCCTCATATACGAAAGGCACTCGCCTGCGCTTTGCGCCTAAGGCTCCAGGGACCTTTTGCGCCTCGGTGCGCCTCACGCCTTTTAAAACTAAGCAATAAAGAAGAAGTCACGTGATGATCTAGGGGATTTCAATATTCTTTATAATTTTTCAAAATTCCACTGCTTTACTTACTTTTACATCTTACTTTTAGTTTTCCATTTAAATTGTTACATTATTATACGAATATAAATAATAATTGGATAAATGACATTCAATTTTCAATTTAAACTTTTTTTTTTAAAAATAAATTAAAAAAAACTCTAAAACAAAAATTCTACCGCGATGACCGATATCCGGTCCGTGATCAACGCATCATCTCTGTTACCGCAATACTGCGACCGTTCCCACAAGATCGAAACTGCATTTTTACACCATGGTTTTGAATGAAGCAGTTTGAAAAAAAACTTAGATTTTTGGTGGGAGTGCATAAGGGAGCAAGATTGGGGTTTTTGAAGTTTCACCATAAAATTGACATTTTTGTTTTTGTCACTTTTTTGAGATTTCACTTTATAACGTTGCTGTTTTTTGCCCACTATGTTGTTTCTGGCTTTGTTGTTGTTGATGATGATGACTTGTTGTCATTGTTGTTGTTGACCAACTCATGTAATTTGGTATAGAATGAAAAACAAATAAGGCTTAGTACATCTACTCTCCATGGTCTGAATTGTTCCAGACTTGCATTTTTTAATATAACTATGAAATTTTCTTCAAGATGTAAAATTTGAACCTGGCTTTGTGTGAAGCTGGGTCTTTTTGGCAGTTGCATCAAAACCTGATCTTTCTCATTTTTAAGACCATTGTACCACTAGGAGGATCATGTGATGATGCTAACTAGATAGGGTTTCTTTTTATTTATTATTGCAATCAGATGCTACAGAAATATGTCCAAGCTAATATTTAAGGCTTACTGTACTATTGGCCATGCTATTTGCTTACAGACATGTGCCTTTCATGATATTGAAACAAATCAAACTGAGTCTAACTTGCTGCAGTTTCTTCAACTTGTGTGCAGCGGAACTTTTGGCTTCAAACAAATTGTCAGAGTTAGCTTGCTTGGCATTATATTTGATGTATGAAAAGAAACAGGGTAAAAAGTCCTTTTGGTATCCATATATCAGAGAGCTTGATCGGCAGAGAGGTAGGGGGCAACTTGCCGTGGAGTCTCCTCTTCTTTGGTCAAAGAGTGAACTCTCTTATCTTTCTGGAAGTCCTGTCCTGGTATTCTATTTCACTTTCTTATGCAAAAAGAAACTGAGATTTGTTTGTTTTGTGATATTGTATTTAGGTTGATATATTGTTGACTATAAAAGTTTGTTTTGATGGTTTGCAGGCTGAAATCATGGTAAGGGACGAGGGAATAAAAAAGGAATATGATGAGCTCGACACAGTTTGGTTTATGGCAGGATCACTTTTTCAGGTGACTTTCTTTGTCTTTCTTAGAAATGGACATTATCATTATATAATACATCTTAGTAATGTGGAAAATTTTCTTCTAATTTAACATTTATGTTGATTTTACATATCGATATGGTATAGTTCAGCTATTATTAATTATTATTACTTCCTTTTGTACTCAAGCAGCTAGTGTGTATTCTGAGATTTTATTGACAGCGATTCTCCATAATTGACAAACTAGTTTGTGTTATATACTGTTAAGTGACTCTTGAATGAAGCTGTAGTATGACATTTCCTCAATCAGTGCATTTTTTCTTCTACAGAATTATGTGTGTATTTCCATTTCAAAAGTATAAGCTACTTTCAGTTTTTGATGTCAAAGGTAACTAGGTAAGTTACCTTTGACAATTAACTTCTCAAATAAGTTACAACACATAAGCTTTAGTGATTCATAATGATAGACATTTTCATCGTAAACTTTTAGTCAGTTTCCTTTAGTAATATTGTTAGCAGTTTTAGGCTGGGTCTATTTTGAGTCCTTTGGGCTATTATGGGATGGAGACCATTGCTTAATCCTGACCTTTTACTCCCATGTTTGGCTTAAGCTGGACTAATAGCTAGACTTTCTCTGTTATTATCTTTCAATTATGATAGTAAGTTAGGTTCTATTTGTATCCATAATAATAAAAAGAAAAAGGGATTTTATCAATGGTACCCTCAAAAATTTGACTTTTATCAATGGTACCCTAAAAAATTTGACTTTTATCATTGGTACACCTCATTAAATTTTTATTATCAGCGGTGCACCTAATATTTTCACCTAATTGCTACAGTGATCATTAGCTGATTATAACGTTAAGTAAACGTTAAATTAGGGCATTTGGCTGGTTTAATGGGTTTGGTTTAATGGGTTTGGCTGATGAAAATACTGAAATGCCCCTACCCTAAAAACTCCCTCTAAAAGTTTTCTGTTTTTTTTCCCTCTCTTTTTTTCGATTTTTCCCCCTATCCCCTCTGTCTCCTATTTAAACTCTTGGCTTCTTCAGATTTCCCCTCTTCTCTTCTCTTCTCTTCTCTTCATTCCTCTTTTAAAGTCGTACACTGCAATGGCTTCTTCTGGCGGGGGATGCATTTTCAAGGAGCATCAATTGTAAAGGTACTTTGTTCAGAGGCATGAACTGCAATTGCAATTGCCAACCACCAAGATATGTAGACATTAGGTTTCGAACTCAATATCGAATCCTAGAAGGTCCTATTATAAGTGTAGGCTCTAAGAGTTCTTTATGTGGGTTAGGGAAGACCAAATTGTGAGAGACATTGGCAGGGAGATGCAACAACTTTACATGCATTAAGGGTTAAATTTGATTTTTTGCTGATTTTATGTACATGGTGGTGAAATTGGCAGTGGTGATGTATTTGGTGTTGCTTTTAGTCACTTTGAAATAGATGAACTTAGTTGTAGTATTGAAGCAGTCCAACTGTAATGTGTAAGATATTGTTTTATTTTGAAATAAAGACATAACTTTGTTTATTTTTTGTTTATTTGTGTATATTACATCAAATTATTTGCATACTTAACAGTAGCAAATTGGTGAATGAAACAAGTACATTTCAGATGCTAAGTTTGCAATAAAAAAAAAAAAAGAATCAATCATAAGTAATTGATGCCAAATTAGAAAGGTTAAACATTTGCACATAACTCGTTCCGAAAAACAACTTAATCATAGTTTTAAGTTGATGGCTAATAAGTAAGATCAACAAAATTTTTTCACATCCAAAAACAACTTAGTCAAAGCTTTTTTCACATCCAAAAACAACTTAGTCATAGCTTTAACAGAATTGTTCCCATCCAAAAAGTAATTAGTTGTCTAAGATTGTCACTATGCCTAAATCTGGCTGAACAGGACAGTTGAGGCTTGCATGCATCATGGCTGTGATTAAGACAAGTCTTGAGGTTCGCTGGACATTTGAGATGATGAGATCTCTGTTGCAGCTCCAACAACTTTGGACTGAGCAGCAGCTTCCTTGGCAGCCTTTGATTGATCCCTTACCCTTGGATTTTTAACAACCAATGCCTCACTTGCTTTCAGTTCCTTCCCAGTTAATCCCCTTTTGCAAGTCTTTTTGTTGTGGCCATAATTTCCACAACTACTGCATCTTACACTTGCCCTCTTGCCTGGTTGCTCTTCACCCTCTTCTGTTTTTGCTAGGCCTTCTAACACCTCTTTTCATCTTTGGTGGGGCAATCTGGTTAGGATGGTTAGGATTAGCAGGTGGCCATTGAGAGAAATCAGGAATTGGGTGTATTGCATGGCAGTACACTTGTTTGTATGTTCTTGCAGAATACCATGAACTAATATAGTTGTGAGGATCCACTTTAGCATGTAGCATAGCTCTTATTGCATGTCTGCAGGGGATACCTGCTAAGCCCCACATGAACATATTTTGTTGTTCAAACTTAGAGGAAATTGAGACTTCCCCTCATAAATCTCATACTCTCTTGGACTTGACTGAAAAGCCCTACATGTGCTTGTAGCTTTGCTAATATCTCTAACAAGCTTAGCAATTTTAGGGCACAACTCATCATCTGTCATGCAATTCTGACCATGCACACTCTTCTAATGCCTGTTTGAGATGAATACAAAGGAATACTATTAGCTATCAATTCAATGATAACACACAAGGAACAGATATTTACCTTCAAGAAATGCTGAAACACGTCTGCATCTGTCTACTACTCCTAGTGTTGAGTGTTTGAGTCATTGCACACATTTGGATCAAACTTATGTTTGCTCCATTTTGCCTGATCACCTAAGTCAGCAAACCACTTCATTACATATGCCCCCCCTTCCTTTTGTAGCCTCTCCAAAGCCTTTAGTGGCATTGCATGCCCTCCAGAACAATATGTACATCAAAGAACAATATGTACATCAAAGGCCCTGGCAATGCTTTCTTGTAATTCCTACTCAAGTGCCTACAGCAATACCTTCTTTTTGCTTCTAGCCACACATTTGTAAAAGCAATGTCTACTCCCTGTCATCAGCAATTATAAGCAAACATAAGCAAGAATAGGTTGGGAGAGTAATACATTAACAAATATGTGAGGTTAAATGTATACCTTTTATCTCTCAGAAATTATGGTCCAGTCTTTCCGGTTTGATTCCTTCACAATGTTGTACAATTGCCAAAGAAAGTATGACCAGGTGTCTTTGTCTTCTCCACTAACTATTGCATAAGCTAATGGGAAGATTTCATTTTTGCCATCAACTGCAACTGTTGACAAAAGGACACCCCCATAATTCCCTTTCAAATGTGCCCTATCAACCCCAATCAAGGGTCTTGCACCCTACAAGGAACCCTTTCCGCTGTCCAGCAAAACTAATGAACATGGTAGTGAACAAGTTTACCCTTGGTATACTCTCACTTAATGTCCAACCCACAAATGCCTTAGAATCTGGGTTAGTGGCACATATCATGTCAGCATACCTAGATGAGAGTAAGACTCATCATGCCCACCAAACAGCTCTTCAATCACATACTTCTTCGTATAGTGATGCTTGTTTCATGTAGATGCCATACCTCTGAAACAGAAGCTCATTGAGAGCCTTCCCTGGAATATATGGAGCTGCTTGATATCTTTCATCACCTTTAAAGCAGCCCACTTCACAGTGCATATAGGGTTGTAGGTCTGGCCAAATCTTCTTTATTGCCCATGTCTTCCCATTAGACAACTTACTAGCATGAAGTCTCCATTCACAACAATCTGCATAACATGTGACATTCAAAGCAAACCCCTCTTGAACTGCATAATCTTTTAGTGTTTCTCTCAAATGAGCCTTATCAATGAAAATCATCCATGGTCTAAGAGTAATTTTCCCCAACTTGACCTCATACATTTCCCCATGGCCATACAGCTTCTTAAAGTAGTCTTCATCATCATCTGAGTCCACAATCTTAGTTGTCATCTATGTGAGGTACATAGTTCACTTCACCCCTTTCATCTTCAGGTACCTCTTCATCAAAATCATCACCCTCAAAGTCCTTATCCTCACTGTCATCATCACATGAGCAGCTAGATTCAGTAGGCTCACCCCCACCCCTAGCATCAGTAGTTTCATAACTAATTTTACTCCTAGCCTTAGGTTCACTAGATACAACAGGTGTTTTTTGCTTTTAGAACTAGTCCAAATCCCTTTCCTTTTAGCAGTACTCTTTGCAACTTTCCTACCAAATAAACTAGGGTCTGTGTGAGGTGCAGATAGACTATCTAGGGTGAATACTAGTGGAATTAAGCTCATTGGGTTGAATTGTGTTTTGGATTGGTGAAAACCTAGGGCTGCTTCTCAATGGTAAAGTTTTAAACACACTGTGTGGGGATATGGGAGATGGGGGATACTTCTCACCACCGGAGCATATTACCCTCTCCATGTCAATCTCTGACAACACCAGCTTTCCCTTTCCCTTTTCCTTTTCCTTTCCCACCCACTTTCCCTTTCCCCTTCCCATTTGTACTAGGATCAGTACCCTTCTCTTTCCCCTTAGCCTTAGCCTTCTCACAAACCTTCTCAAACTCTTTCCTACCCTTAGTGTATTCCCTCCTAGCCTTTTCAGTTTGCTTCAAATTGCCCTCTTCATTGTCTTCCAACATATTAGCCCAAGTCATATCAGGATCATAATTGAACTCAGCACCTAGCATATTCACTAGTGGGGGGTTGGTAGGAGCATCAGCATCATTACTAGTAGCCACTGACTTACTAGCCTCATCCTGGTATTTCTTCACTAACTTCCTTCTGGGCTTAAGCTTGGTGGTCTCACTCTGAATTGCATATTGAATGGCAAAATTGGGTGTGATTCATTTGTGGGAGGTGGTGGTACATCACCAAATTCAGCAAAAAACTGTGCTTTACTCACCATTAATTTCATAAACAGCAGATTTAGGTACATTGCTTGATTCATTTAAAAGAGGGGGGGGGGGGGGGAGGGGGGTGAGTCTGGTTCATTTGTTGGAGGTGGTGGAAAGTTCACTCCTTCAGCAACTATTTTGTTTCTTCTAAACTCATAAGCAAGGTCATTCATGTAACTAGATCTCAAAGGGTCAGTACCAACTAGTATCTCATACATTTTTGCCCCAGGGAATGTCCTAAACATCCTCTGTACACCACCATCATCATCAATAGGCCAATGTTTACCCCTATATGCATAAGCAAATATAGGATTCACTATAACTACCCCTCTTTTCTGTAACTCATCCTCAAAGTCTAATCAAATCCATGAGATTACAACGATCAACATCCACTTCAATATCAACTTTATGCACTTTATACTTAAATCTGATTCTGCACAAATTACAGTACACTACCATTTAAACACTACACAACACAATTATTGATCACACACTAAAGAACAACATTATAATAAATCTAGGTTATAAAATTGACAGTACTATAGCATGCATCACACTAACACCACAAAATCGAATTACATATGAAAAGAAAAACCAACTTTTAGCATCAACAGTACCTAAAGTGCAACTCTAGCATGAATTCAACAAAAATCATACAACATTACATCATAATTACATATTCGAACTCGTAATTTAACACCCAAACAAAATAGCATTCAATTACCTAAAACATAAGAATGTATACAAAATAATTCACAAAATCATGAACGAAGATGATTACTAACCTTAAAAAGCAATTTGTCAAACCAATTCTCCTCAAATTTTGCTTCAATTAGGGCTTTGTTGCGAGCTTCAGAACAGGGGAAAGAGTTTGGAAGTTGAACGATCAAAATTTTTGCGTTTAACTTGTGATAAATGATGTTAGTTGGGCTTGGAGGGATAATTAAGAGGGGGGGGGGCATTTTTGTAAACTTACTGACCTTAATCCTCATAAAATGCCCTTATTTAATGTTTACTTAACGTCTATAATCAGCTAATGATCACTGTAGCAAATAGGTGAAAATATTAGGTGCACTGATATGAAAATTTAATGAGGTGTACCATTGATAAAAGTCAAATATTTGAGGGTACCATTGATAAAATCCCAAAGAAAAAACCATAGCCGCTAGCCAACTCCTTTTCTCTTGGTTTTTCAAAAAGTTGAACTTTTCTAGGCCCCGTTGGAATTTCGAAACTTGGCTATTTCTGACTTCTCTATAAACTTTGCATGTTGATGTTTTTAATTTCAATTAAACTACATTTTTTTACTACAGTGGGTTCCTCTTATGGTGGGATTTGTTGAGTATGAGTATGAGTATATGACCTATGTTACTCGGACTCGAATACCCATGTCCGACACGGGTGCGTGTCCAAGTGTCCGACTCGGGTATTTTGTGAATAAATTCTATGTCCAAGTGTCATATCATGTCCAAGTGTCAAGGGTCCGACACGGGTACTTCACGTGAAATGAAATGAGTCTAAGTAACATAGTATATGAGTATGAGTATGAGTATGAGTATATGAGTATGAGTACATGAGTATGAGAGTATGAGTAATGAGTATATGAGTATGAGGAGATGTACCGCGTTACAAGATATATTCAACGATTGTAGTCTTGAAGTAGGAAATCTTTATTCGATTCGTATTGTTATGTATTTGTTATTTTTTATATCTCTTCTGTAGATGTTGAATATAAAACAAATTTAGGCTCTATTGTTTTAAAAGTTTTAGTAAACATAAGTTAAGTAAATACAAGCTAAACTAAGAATAAGGTTACCAAAAATAAGTTAGCATCGATAAAAATAAGTGTAGTTTAGGCAAAAATAAGTTAAGTTCATTTACTCTAATGCAAAAGACAAAACTTAGCGTATTAGAGAGTAATTTTCTATTCAAGATATCAAATGAACCAATCTTACAAGCAAAATACAAACTGACGTAGGAAAAGTAGGTTGAAGACTAACCTTCTAAAGTCAAACAAAATTTATAATCTCTTAACTACCCTAGTACAAGTATAGGGGCAAGTACTCATAGGGCGAACCACTAGGATTGGTAATGCTAGAGGCCTAGAGCATTCTTGAAGTAAAGCCAAAGCTAGGTGGAAGTTGGCGGCAAACTTGGCGTCAATTGTTGCGGGGCCTGTTTGGTCGTGATGCGAGGAGCAGGGGCTGCTGATAGGCATTGCAATTGCTGCTGGGCTGCTGTTGCTTTGTTTTGCAAAGGGCAGGGGCTTCCGTGACTGGTGTGTGTGGTGTTGGTTGCTGTTGTTAGTTGTTATTGTTGCGGTAAAGGTGCAGCGAGGGGCTGCTGTGTTGCAGGTTGGTGGACTATTGCTGTTGTTTGCGTGGGTACAGAGGGAGGTGTGAGGTGGCTGTGTTTGTAGGAGAAGGAAGCAGGTGGAGACGTGGAGTGTTGATGTGGCTGTTGCAGATGCGTGACTGCTGGGATGTGGATAGGTAGAGGATAGCAGGGAAATGGGTGTTCGGGTATGGTGTAGGATAAAAAATGATGTGTAGGTTAAGTGGCTAGCAGCAAGGGACAAATATGAATGTTGGCTGTGTTGTTGATTGCAATTCCTCAAATCAAACACGAACACTTTGAACACAAACTTTCGGCCTTGAAACTCGAACTTTGATCTGAATGTATGGTATACACGCAAAGAAAACCGAGGAAAGGAATGGGAAATAAAATAAAAGTAAAAGAATTAAAAAAAAAGAAGAATAAAAAGAAGTCAAAATAAAAGAGAACAAAGTAAAGAAAATGAAAATAAAGGTCACTAAAATAAAATCAAAACTAATTCCAAAAATAAAAAATAAAAGAGAAACTACTAAAATACAAAATTATGAACTAATAACACGAAAAACAAGTCCTTAACAAGTTATTAAAGACGTAAAAAAAACAGACGAAAATTAAAGAAATCAATGAAAAAGTGAAGAATAATTGAGAAGATATACAAAAAGGACCTAAACTATTCTTTTGAGTGCCATACATGGCGCTCATCAATAAATTGTAATTTGAAGGGTTGTTTGGTTCGCAACCGTCGAGGAAGTGACAGGGGGAAAACTAGGTCGTTGACTAATCCTCCCTAAGCCAAACAAAATTTATAAACACGTAACAAACCTAAATACAAGTATAGAGGTAAGTCAAGGGTCGAACCCAAAGGAACGGTTATGTTCAAGCGCTTTCAATTGGCCGCCTAAGCTAGGTCGAAGTCGAAGGGTAAAGAGGGAACACTAACAACTACTAAAACAAAGAATCAAACAAATAAAGCACTAGGGAATGAGGATCAACAAGTAATCATGACAATTGCTACAACTTAGGAAGAACATGCCAATCAAGAAGACTAATGATAAGAGCTATCAATTGGAATCAAATAGCTATCTCCTAATCATTAAGCTAGTGGTCTCAATGAATAACAAACTAGGAGAATCACAATCCAAACCAATCGATAATTGCAATTTCTAAATCAATGGGTCGTATCATTAGAAATCACAATGCAATCTAGCAGAATTCTTAAGGCATAATCAAATTACACTCATGCAAATTTACATTAATCACTTTAATCTCAATAATCAATCAACACAATTCCCAAATTAATCACAATCAATCAATCATACAAGTTTCACCCAATCCCTAGCCAAACAACTACTCAGAAATCATTATCTAATCAACAAGCAACTAAAGAAACCAAGAATCAACGAGATAAGTAGAACAATTACACTAATCAAGAATCAAACATCAAAATCAAATTAAACAAACATGATATTGAACAAAGCAATAAGATGAGATAGAGTTAGAAATGCTCATTGATTGATTATGAAGATCTTCAACACAATTGTCACCCTTGTATCATCAATCTCTCAAATCGCCATTGAAATCTCTCACTTTCTCTCTAAATCTACTCCTAAACTAAACCTAAAACTAGAGAGAGAAACTCTCAACTAAGCTAAAATTATGATCAAAATTATGTTTAAAACATCTTACAAAAATCGGTTGTCGTATTTAGAAGACGAGAGAAACCGAAGCCCAAGGGAGGAGCGCCCGCGCAGGCAGAATCTCGTACAATACCTACAACCACGAAAAGAGGAGAAATAAAGGAGAAAATACAAGAAAAACCATAAATACACATAACAAAAGAGAAAGGGGAAATAAAGAGAAAATGCATAAAACTAAGCATTTATGAAGAAAAAAAGCTATGAAAAGAAGGTAAAAACAACCTAAATACTCATCAGGAAGGGAAACAATAGAAAAGAAATATGAAGGGTTATGGTTCTAGATAGATTTACTCATAGCCTATAGGTGATGATCAGCAATATTGATCAATGTTAGCAATGTTTTTGACAACAAAAGTCCAATTTACCGTAAAGCCTACCTTTCTCTCAACCCTCGTCCCATTGTGAATTGTTAGGAGTCATGATTTATGATCCTTTCCTTTTTTTTTTTTATTGAACCATGATCCTTTCCTTCTATGTCTTTATTCTTTTTATTTTTCTTTATTAAATTATTAATTTTTTGTTGTTGCCGTTTTACAGCAATATCCTTACGACATTCCCACCGAGGCTTTTCCATTTGAGATCTTTAAGCAAGCGTTTGTTGCTGTTCAGTCTTGTGTGGTGCATTTACAGGTAAGTTTAGTACAAGGACATATTGACATTTCCTATCATGTATAAATCATTTTGAATGTCTCTTCCTTTATTACTTAAGTAGACCATTTTGTTAATCAAGGGCATTTCAGTTTGTGGTTGTGGTTGCTTGCATCTGTCATGTGCTATCTTTGAGAGTCTTTACATTGGAAATTGCTGTAAATGTTCACTTGTCACATAACTAGTTTATTTTCAGTATTCTAACGTAAGTTCTGTCGGTACTGGATACTCTTAGGGGCTACACAAGTTATTCTTCTTTTTAGTGTTCATTATTATCACGTTTTCTGTGTTCTCAAACTGCTTGTCTAGTCTTTCAAATGTATATTACCAGAGTATTGCAAATCATTTCTTTTTTTTTTGGGAAAGACTGTTTCTTCTCTTCAGTTGCTTGGAGTTCTATGGTGAAGGGATAGTTTGTAGCCCCATGATACCTAGTGTAGTCTGGGTGAAGTCTTGCTCGTACGATGAAATTGAAGGGGGATAAGCTCCTGGTGTAGATTTTATGTCTTTTAAGATGTCAGGTTTGTTGGGAAGAGGATCGTATGATGAGAACTGAGATTGTTGATGAGTGTTTTCTATAGTTCTGTACTTATGACAAGTTGATATGAATCTATGTTTTGTATAAAAATGCTTAAGTTGATAATATACCTGATATTCTCTCTCTCTCTCTCTCTCTCTTTTTTTTTAATATATATATATATTTAAAATCTGTGATCAGGGAGTGAGCTTGGCTCGCAGGTTTGCTTTGGTGCCCTTGGGCCCCCCACTGTTAGCTTATAAGAGTACCTGCAGGGCAATGTTAACTGCGGTAGATGATGCTGTGCATTTGGTGGTTGACCGACCTTACAAGGATGGAGAACCTATTGTTGTCTGGTATATATATGTACTCTTATGATTTCTTGAAACAAGGATTTTCCTTTATGTAATTACGTTCTTTATGCTGTTTCTTGAAAGTGTTTAAAATTAAGGCTCATGGATTTGGTTATTTGGAAACATATGTTTAGCTTTTTGTTTCTGTTGCACAAGAAATCACTGAATCAGGAGGCATGAATTTTGATAACATAGTTGCATGTGTGAGATTTTAACCCATCATGTCACCTTCTTCTTACTTTGTGAAGCAGAACATTAATGGCAGCTCTATCTCCTATAGTCATATTACCCATTGTTTGCTTAGAAATCTCTTGCATATCTCTCTGTTTCGTATGTACATATTTTAGCTTCTACTTTTCCATGAAATTTCTTGTGAAAATTTGTTGAAGTTGCTAAGCATAAGTAACCTTGTGTTCTTTTTTTTGGTATACTAGAAAACTTATCAAGGTTGGATAAGTTAAAAAATTTGTTGGCATGGAGAAAGTAGTGATCAACAGCTTGTTCAGTAATAATTTCCCACTGTACGGTTTTTTTTTTTTTTTTTTTTTTTTTTTTTTTTTTTTTTTTTTTTTTTCCGGACAGCCATCCAGTTTATAAAAAACGCACATCACTGAGGTGCAAGACGACATAATCCATGCCCGTTTTTTTAGTCGAGGCAAACAGCTTTTTTTACCATAATTTTTATCTCTTCATTCAGTCTTCTTATACACTGTAGTTCTTTGCTGATTGTCTGAGGTGATTATTTTCTTATCCTTTGCTGGAGCAAGTAATAAAAACTTATTTTATAAAATACCAAGATTCAACCAGTTCTCCCCCCCCCCCCACACACACACACACCTTTCTTTTTTTCTTTTCTGTCTCCCTGTTTCTCTCCTAATTCATGCAACTACATTTTTTATCTTATTATTGTGATATGTTGACATATACCAGGTGTGGACCGCAGCCCAATTCCAAGTTGCTAATTAATTATGGTTTCGTTGACGAAGATAATCCCTATGACCGTATTGTGGTTGAGGTAAAACTAGCTAGTAATTTTCTTACGGTACATTATCCTCTTCAGGAACAATTCTTTACATAATATTCTGTAAGTTGCTAATTAATCACGTTTTCTTTAGGCTGCTCTAAGCACAGAGGATCCACAATATCAGGAAAAGAGGATGGTTGCCCAACGTAATGGAAAACTATCTCAGCAAAGTTTTCATGTACGGACTTATTCTTTTTTGTAGGGATGAACCTTTTCAGATAGAATTTCCTTGTCTGAAATATACTATATGAAAACCCAAAATTTGTGATACCTAGTATCCTTTAAATATTCAGCTATGTAATATTACATTGCTGGATATTTGCTGTTAAACTTTTTTTTAGCGGCTTCTGAAAATCTTAATCTGTTCGTTCAGTTATAAATAGCAGCCTTAGTTAGAAGCCAAATGACAGATAATAAACAAAAACTTAAATCTTTATTCAAGGAACATAAATTTTACATTTGCACTATAGAAACCATGTCTCTGTTTTGTTGCACACTTGGACCTAATTAAAACTCTTTTACAGTTGAAAATGCTTCAGTTGAATTTCAAGGTGGGAGAAGAAGATGGTGAAAGTAGTTTTTCTAATAAGGATTTTTTTTATAGAATTGTATGGCAGGTAAGATTTTTAAATATGAGAGGGGTAGCAGTGGTGGAAGGCTGAAAAATTTCTTGGTTCTTCTGAAGTCTTTCGTTCTGGAATTGACTTGATTTTGCATTTGAAATGAAGTGTTAATTTTTTTTCCTCCTGAATCCTGATTAATTCCAGAAACACTGCAGTTGTTGTGTTGGTTAAAGTTTTCAGAAATCTGGTATCTATTTACATTTCAGTTATTGAAATTCCAGTATCTTGAAACTTAATGACCCAATTGATGTTTCATAAACCTTCTTTCGGATCTCACCATGAGCGTTTTTTTTTTTTTGAAATTATAAAAACCTAGCAAGATTATTTATTCAAATCCACCAAAAATCTGAGACCAATCCTATCGAATTCTAAATTCTGCTATTCCCAAACATCGAATGCTATTGAAGCTGATAATTTCTTAACTAATGTTATCCAAACCTGGTTAAATTTGATCGGATATGACTAAAGTTCAAGTTTACAAAATTTACCCCTCTTTATAATCTCATACTATGTTTAAAGTCTTTTATACGAATTTTATTCAATTTTGTCTCCTCTTCATATTCAAAACTTTCTACTTTTGTCATATGTACTTGTTCAAGTACAAATACTATATATGTTTAAGGTTTGATTATGTCTCCCTTATATTTTTAAGGTTTGATATTATGGCATTAGAATTAACTGGATAAGACTTGAAACCAATTTAGTTCAAATCCAATAAAGCAGCACATCTGCTTCATTTTAACTTGATCTAACTTGAGCCAGGTACTTGCATGACCTGAAATCACCTGAACCCACAACAACACATTACTGTAGTAACCTGACCTGTTTTCAATCTGATCTGCCTTATTGCCACCTTTACTGAAAATAGGGTTGTCATTTTCTCAATTTGTGTTGCAGGTGCATGTTAGGAAGGAAAAAGAAGCAGTTGCTGACATGCTTCCATATTTGAGACTTGGTTATCTTTCAGATCCTGCCGAGATGCAATCTGTTATCACTTCTCAAGGGCCAGTATGTCCTGTAAGTTGACTATCTTATTGTTATGTCCTGGTAACTAAACTTTACTATGTTGATACTTTGGTTTAAGTTTCTTCAATTTTTTTAGTCATATACATGCTTTGTAGGTTATTTCTTTTTGTCCGTAGATACACCATATTTCTGTTTGTTGGTATGCTACCCCATAGTTCTGGTCAGATTTTGGAGGAGTCATGATTTATGTGTCTTGATACATTCTTGAGTTAGTGTGTATAGGTCCAAGAATTATGGATACCTTTAATACTTACATCTCCTGTATGGTTGCCCTTGTGAATTAGCCCAATCTAGATAGCTTCTTTACGATAGTTTCTTTCTGTTTCTGATTTTTGAACTGCCCAAGTTTGTGGCTTAATCTGTAATTCTCTATAAAATTGCATTTATTACTATGAGAGTTTATGTAGCTCTCAGTGTATAAATTCTAAAGCTTGATATCATGTCCTAGTCTTGCAAATTATTATAGGGTCAACAAAGATTTTGATTATGAAATAGAATGAGTCTATGCTTATTCCTTTGCTGTTCTCTTTGTTTTACTTGTACTGCTGTGTAACGGAAATGAGTTATTAATTGCCAAATTTTGAAGGCTTTATTGTTTGACCTTGTATCTTTTACTCTATTTTCCTTACTTGAATAGTTTCAGCTTTGTTGCCGCAGGTTTAAGAGAAATTGCACTTTGGTGACCTATGCTTTCAATGTATTCATTCTAAGGGATAGTTTTAGAGCTTTTGTTCACTTTGGCGTCCTATAGTTACCCCAATGCTTAAATAAATTGACATGTATCATATATTACTTATTAGATGGATGACATTCATCCCGGACGAACCTCACCTAGCCTAAGTCCCTAAAACTTTTTCTTCCAAGACACATGTCTCTCAATTACTAGTTCAAAACATTTCTCTAATTATTTAAGAGGAGTTAGTAATTGTAAAAAATTAACAAGAATTTTTTATGTCAGGTGACTAAAATGTAACCCAAGTCACCTTAGTGCAATTTTACTAGAAATTTGGCACTGAAGTGATAAGTTTTCTATTTTCAAATAGACATTTGTTTATGCATTATCTGAAATTATATGTATGATTCATCTTGAAAGTCTCAAGCTGGGCTTCATCTATGGTGATTCTTCATTGGTTGAGCTAGAAAAGCTGTTTTTTTTTAAAAAAAAAGAAAAGAAAGTGTGCCTCTCTTGTAGGACTGAACATCCTTAAGTAATAACTCCTAAGCTCTTAGTATAATAAAACCAAGTCTGATTCACGTTGCAAAGCCATTTCTTTTTCCTTTTAAAGCTAACTTATTACATCCTCATCTCTGAACAAAAACAGGCTAGTGTTACACCCCCTTTGCCTTTATTTGACAATGTGAATGGATTGGATTGAATCAACTTCCACTATTTTTGAATGAGCTGAATGTGAAAGAGGGTTTTCCAGAGAAACAAACTCTTTTAATTCCACAAATGCACTTCTCTTTGTTATGTTCCTCCATTCATAGAACCCATGCTCTTTTTGGAAAGATTTCGCCCCCTCCTAAAAAAGTTAAAAATAAGCATTGTTGGGAAAGAGTTGTTTTTTTAGATTTCTTCCCTTTTTATACACTCTAAGGAGATTATGTCATGAAGAATGATGCTTGATTGAGTGAGCATTGTTTGGATAGAGGGGTTTTTTTTTTTCGAATTTCCCCCGCCCCCCCATTTGTTCTGAAGAAATTAGGACATTCCAAATACACCTCATTGTGGGATGAAGACCACAACTTTAGTCGCTCAATGCTCTATATGGGGCTTCCTTGCGGCCTAGTATTTCTTCAAAAAAAAATTGATCAAGGAAATTTATACTTTTTTCCCCAAATGAATTGTCGGGCTTGCACCATTGGGATACTTCATTAGGAGGTGTGGGTTGAAGTAGTTCAAAGCTCATAAAATATTCCAGTATTGTGTAAAAGTATTATTATTGCAGTTAGTATATAGAATATTTGAATTGATAATTTTATATGACACTGCACTGTTATCTAACAAAACATAAAATAAAAAAATAATTGCAGGTGAGTCCTTGTGTTGAAAGAGCAGTTCTGGACCAACTTTTGGATTATTTCAAGGAAAGACTTTCTGGCTACTCTACCACTTTAATGGAGGATGATGCCTTGGTACTTTCCTGTTCTCTCTATTTTAATATGAAATGATTCACTATGAAGCTTTATATGACAAGGTTTAATAATTTAGTTGGCAGATCAAAATCTAAATCCCAAAAAACGAGTTGCTACCCAGCTTGTTAGGTTGGAAAAGAAAATACTGCAAGCATGCTTGCAGGCAACTGTGGATTTGATAAACCTGTTGCCTGATCATAGTGTCTCTCCTTGTCCTGCTCCATATGCCCCTTCATTGAAGTGAAAGGTATTTTGGTCTTTTTATTTAGTGTTTAGGCGCAGTTTAGAAAGAACTTTATTGTGTGTAGTTTTGTTGAAGAGCATGAGTACATCACATTATGATAAAAGAACATGAGTCAATTTTAATTTGAAGGTATAATAATATTGTTTAAAAAAAGCAGAATATATATCATGTTCTTTTATGAAAATGACATGTTATACTTCCTCGGTTCCTCCACTTCTCAATATCTGCATCAATTGACTTTTTAAACTATTCTTAAACTAACTTTGACCATATTTTACCACTAATGTATATAAATTTTTTTTTTCAATTTTATTTGGGAAAAAATAGAAAAAAAAAATCCCAACTTTCATCAATTTCGGTAGAATAGTCCCAAATTTGGATTATTCTGGAATAATTTGAACTTTCCGAACTTTGGGGTGTTTTCTTTTTCTTCAATCCCAAACCGGTCAACAAAAGTCAATGACTCATTGTAATAGGTTATGGGCCACGCGTTAAGCTACAATTAGGCCCTGTTGAATTCACCTTATTTTTGCTGAACTGAAATTATTTTTACTGAAACAGAATTATATTAGCTTAACTTAAATTATTTTTACTTAAATTAATTTTACTGAACTGAAACTATTTTTGTTGAACTGAAATTATTTTTACTGATTTTCTATTATAATTCTTCTTTAAGATAACTGAATTTTACCAAACCGAACTTATTTTTACTGAACTGAAATTATTTTACTGAACTGTACTTATTTTTATTGAACGGAAATTATTTTTACGTAATATTATTTTTTTTAAGGTGAAGTGAACAGGGCCTTAGTCCTAAAAAGAAAAAAAAAAACAAAAAACCCTTAATCTATCCCTTGACCACCATAACCCCACCACCTGCGAAGGGCTGCCACCGTCCGCCGCGCCACCCCTCCCTAACCCTACCCTAACAGTGCACCGCTTCCCCCCATCCGACCCACCTCCACCCCCTATCCGCCCCTTTTTCGATTGGATTTTCCGCCAAACCACCATCCCCTTCCCGAAACTCCCACGCCACTGGCCTCACTTTCTAAAACCCCAAAAACCACCGGCCCCACTCACAAAAATCCCTTAAAACCACTAGCTCCACTCAAAAATCCCCAAAAACCACCGGCCCTACTCGAAAATTCCCAAAAACCACCAGCCCAATATAAATCCCTCAAAACCACCTTCTCCACTCCCTAAACTATTTGAAACACCCTCGAAACCCCTTCCCCACTCCAAAAACCCCCAATGGCCACTTCCTCACCGTCGAAATCCCTAGCTGCTAGGGTTTCGGGGTAAGCGGAGTGGTGGTTGGAGGTTTTCGAAATGGGGGATGAAGGGGTTTTATAGGTGGTTGCGTGGGGGTTTCTGGGAGGGGGATTGTGGCTTAGGGGAAGTGCTGGAGCGGCGAGTCTAGTGGTGGGGGAGGGACGACGATGGTTTGGTTAGGTTGTGGTGGCTTTGGCTGGGTGGTTTTTTTTTTATTTATTTATTTTTTATTTTTTAACTAATTATTTTGCGATATGTGTCACTTTAACCAAAAAAATAATTTTAACCCATTCAATCGATAACTGGCATTTTGGATTGAAGATAAAAAGACCCCTCAAAGTTCGGATTATTCCAGAATTATTCAAAGTCGGGATTATTCTATAAAAATTGATGAAAGTTGAGATCATTTTTTCTAATTTTTCCTTTTAGTTGTTGTTAAGTGGATCTCAATATATATATATATATATATATATATATATATATATATATATATATATATATATATATATATATATATATATATATATATATATATAGGGAGAGGCTCATGTGAGAACACCTCTTTTATGTGAGAAAACTTTATAGGTGAGAACACATCTATGTTCTAATATGTTAAGGTAGATGTTCTGAAAATAAATTAAACTCATCATCTTCAACTTTAACATTCTCTCTCCTCTCCTCACCAACACTATCCAATCTCTAGTTCCTCTATCACCACCACCGCCTATCCATAGCCTTTATGCCGTCACCTCCACCACCATCACTCTTTCTCTTCTCTCTGACGTCATGGCCAACACTTTCTCTCCTCTCCACGACGACCACCATCACCACATGCTCAAGAATTTCATGTGTTTTGTATCAACTTTTGAACAATTGTAGTCAAGAAGTCAAGAATTCAAGTTGTGAAGCTTAATTAAAGGTAAACCAAGCTTAATTGACAATTTAATATGTGAAATCAAAATTTTTCATCCAAATCAATCAAATTAGGCAAATTATAGAGTTTGAAATTGCAAGGAATTTTAATTGAATATAAGAAACTAAGCAACAATTCATATGTTTTTGTTACCTTGGAAATCAAGAATAAACTGATTTCGAATCAATCGTTGTAAAAATCGAATTTCAATTCGTGTTCTATGTTAACGAACTGTGTTCTAAAAAATTTAAGTATGTTCTAAAAACTGTTACATATGTTCTAAAATATGTTGCATATGTTCTAAAAATATTGCATATATGTTTAGATTTGTTTTTGAGTTCAAGGTCTAAAAATTTGAGTATAATGTTCCAATTAAAACTATATTTTGAAAAGCTAAGTTTATTCTTCTAAGATCTATTACATATGTTAAGAATAATTGAGTCTAGATTCTAAATTTCTACGCATTTTGTTCTAAATGCTATGCTATAAAAAGTTAAGTATGATATTCTAAATTTTTACTCACATGTTTTAATTCTTAAATCTGATGTTCTAATTACTCACATATATGTTATAAATTATTACTCATATGTTCTAAATTTTTACTCGTATGCTCAAAATTTTTACTCACATGTTCTAAATTTAAAATCAGCTCTCATATAAGTATGAATTCTCACATATGGGTCTATTCTCACCGGATCCCTCCCCTATATATATAAAATTTTAAAAAAGCATAATTAAAGATATTAATGATTAAAGTTGTGCATCGACAAACGTGTATATTCAATTGATGCAAATATTAAGAAATAAAAGAAGTATTACAAATGCACTTGTGTTTTTTTAGTGCACAATGTTCACTCTTTCCATAGTCTACTAATTGGATTTAGGATATAAAAAATAGTGTCAGTTTAATATTTGTCTTGTAATTTTTTTCTTCTCAAAGGGTGTCACGTTACATGCACTACCGTAAGATTTCCTTGAAGATGATGCGTTGGAATCTTTTCTTGTACATGGTGATATCAAATTGTGAGGTCAGTATAAGCACTTTCGAATGATTTGAAGATTGGTATTTTTTATCCTTTTATCTTTTTTTTTTTTTTAAAAAAAAAATTTAAGAAGTTTCGGGGGGTACGAAACTCCATCTTACCAAGCTTTTTCCGTGGATATTCTTTGCAGAATTTAGGCTATATTATTGATTGAATTTTATCTTGGTTGGCGCGCGTGCGTGCGTGCGTGTGTAATATTAAATGGGAACTTATACTCCGTCTTGTTGAGTAATTTAGAGTAAGAGACAATTTTCATGTTTGCTTTGCTTAATTAATAAAGGTGAAGGTGTTAATAGGTGAAGGTGTTTAATTAAGTATAGCAAGTAATTAGAAGCTAATAACCTCAGTTTAAAGGGGTATACTCGGTTTAGAGTGAAGAACCTCAAAGGTGAAGGTGTTAATAGGTGAAGGTGTTTAATTAAGTATAGCAAGTAATTAGAAGCTAATAACCTTGGTTTAGAGTGGTATACTCGGTTTAGAGTGAAGAACCTCAGTGTAGAGGGATAAACAAGGAGAAGCAGGAGAAGCATAGCTGCCTTGTCTTCTGCCTCTAGGCTGCCGCCCATCCAGGCTGTCGCTGCCCTTGCCTTGCAAGGCTCAAGAATGAAGAAGTAAACCAAAGTATTGCTGCCCAGATCGTGTAATCTCCACCCTATCGGGCGCGAGAACGATTTTCTGGGATTGGTGTGTTCGCCCCGTGCATCAACCCAGACTTCAGGGCGTTTGTCGGGCGAATCGGAATCCAGCCGGGCGCGAGCGTGGCCGATGGTTTGTGACAGTTCAGTTTCTTCTTTATGTTGTTTGGCTTGGTTTTATTGCTTCTATATATATGTGTGACACATGATGAAAGGGACGGGGGAAGAAAATAAATCAGATTATTTTCTTTGAATTCTTTTTGCAGCTTTCATTTATCATCGTCATAAATTATCATAAGTTTGGTTACATTAGATCACAGATATACTACACACTGTTGTGATTGTCTTCGTTGTATCTCCTATTTCGTGATACCCGGTGTGTAAATTTGTCCAATTCAGGGTTGAAATATTACTTTTGGAAATTGATTTTGTTCGGGTCTCGAAGTGTTAATTTGTCCATTTTCTTGTCATTTTTGTGACCCGGTAAACTAATTTCCCCAACAATCCAAAGTAATAATTTCCTACAAAGTTGACATGGTGTAAGAATTGTCTTGCAATTTCCATAATTTGGACAAACTAGTCGTTGGAGCACGCGCGTTGCGAGTGTCCCCCGACGGCAAGATAAGTAAATTTCATTGTTGTGTTCGGTTTTTGTGATATTTGTGGTTGTGTTCTGGTTTTGTAATACTACCTAACTTTTAGCTGCAACTTTGGAATATTTTATATCTCATAAAATTGCAATTAAAAGTTAACAGAGATAGTAGCAAGGATACAAGAATATCCAAGGAGTAGTGATAAAGTTTCTACGGTGAAATATTTGTGGAAAAACAATTTTAATAAGTAAACTTATCTAGAATTTTTTAGAATTTAAAGATTTAAAAAAAAATCGATTAATTTAGATATTATTATAGAACGCAATTTGGTTTCTTATTAAGTAACTTAATAATTTTCAAACAGCTATATCTTAAAATGATTGTGCATGATAATAAGGAACAATGATAAGGAAATGCAATTTTAAAGGTTAAGGTTATTCAAAATGGATTAAGTGCAAAACATATGAAAGAATTGTTTATTTCTTTGTTATTAGTCTACATAATTGGTGTGATCTACACTTTTTCAAAGCTTGTTTTTGTATTTGTATATTTTTTCTTTGAGTTGCATAATGAATTTTAGTGCTAGTTTTATTCTCAAATATACAATCTAATTTGGGCAAAAGTAACTTGGCAAAAAACGTAATGTTTATCAATAATGAGTTGTAAAATGAATTTTCTTTCGCTTTCTCCCTGACCTCCTCTCTCTCCTCCCCTTTGATCTCTTTTCAGCTTGCCTTCTCTCTTTCTCTCTCTTCCCTTGGCCTTGTCTCCTTGTTCTTTTTTTTAATAGGTTTGAAAATTTTAGGCCGCAGTTGCTCCTCTCTCAATCATTCCTTCTTTTTTTTGTTGGTCGAAACTCTTTCTCCCACTCTCATTTTTTTCTGTCCAAATCCCTGTTGTCCCTATTCCATCTTTAAAAAGGCATTGAAAATTATAAGCTGCACTTGTTCTCCCAATCCAAATCCTCCGGCTTCTTTATCTTTCCCAGCTTTTCTGTATATTTCTTTTTTTCTTTTGGCCTCCTTCGCCTGCCTTTCTCTCTATCTCTAGTCCCCTTTATATCTTATCGCTCTATGGCTTCTTCTTTTGACCCTTCTCTCCCTCTTCTGGGCCTCTTTCTCTTACTTTCTTCCTCTTAGGCCCTCTTTATTTCTCTTTCTCTTTTCTCCTAACTCCTCTCTCATGGTCTTTATTTCTTTCACTTTTTCCTAGACCTCCTCTCTCGTCCTCCCTTTCGTTATCTCCTCGGCCCCCTCTGTCTCTTTTTCGGCCGACGTTCTCTCTCGACCCTTCTATTTCCTAAATCCTTCCCCCTCTCTTTCCCTCCTTCCCTCTGTCGTCCTAGTCCTATCCCTCCCTGCCCCTTTTGCTTCCCCCTCACTTTCTCTTCCCCTCTCCTATCTTCACATGCCCTTTCCTCTTTTAGCTTGTTCTCTCTCTTTTTCCAGCCCCCTCTCTCTCGGTCCCAATGTCCCATTCTCTCTCTCTCTCTCTCTCATATGTGATGAGTGTCATTTTGACACTTATTTTCTTGTCATGTTCTCAGATTGTAGGTTAGTTCCTTTAAAATTTAGTGTCTTTATTTATGTTTTTGATATTTTTTTGTCAAAAAAATATATTTTATGGCTTATTTGTCCTTTGTGTGTTTTTTTTATACATTATTGAGGTCATTTTGGAAGGTAAAAAATGAACAAAATAATGGGATTCAATGTCTTTGCAAAGAAACAACATGGTATGGGCGTGCGTATGAATCCAATACGTTCTACCTTAAAGTTGAATTCATTTTCTAAATATTATCAATAAGATTGATTCGCTGTACAAATTAGTATTGAATTTTTATCATATGAAATTGGCAATTAATTAACCATCTCTTCCTCCACCTCCCTCTCTCCTCTCCTTTCCTATCTTATAATTTCAAAATTTATAAAGTTAATCTTTATTTGTATTCCCCATTTCTCACTCATTCTCTTCTCTCTATCTATCTTTTGTTACATAGTCGTTGGAGCACGCGCTATGCGCGTGCCCCCCAGCGATAAGATAAGTGAAGTTCGTGGTTGCGTTTGGTCGTTGAGATACTCGTGGCGCGTGCCCCCCCCCCACCCCCCCAACGGTAAGATAAGTAAAATTCGTGGTTGTGTTTGGTCGTTGAGATACTCGTGGTTGTGTTTGGGTTTTATAATAACAAGGATACATGAATTGTAAGTACTAACAAGGAGTAGGGATAAAGTTTCTATAGGGACATATCTATGGAAAAACCATGGTTATAAGTGAACTTATTTAGAATTTGTTATAATTTAAAGATTTTTTTATAAAAATTATACAATTGTTTTACGTCGTATTTTAGAACGTAATATGGTTTCTTATTGAGTACCCCCCTCCCGGTAAAATATGTAAGATTCCTGGTTGTTATCGTGTTTCGTAGTTTGGGATGTTATTAACATTATGATTAGGAGATCTTATTTGTGTGGTAAACACTAACTTGTTTTTTAAGTTTTTCATATCTCTTCTTCCTTCATAATATACCCACTCTCGTTATATTTCTTCCTTGTCTTATCGCATTTCACTTTTCTATTCATCCTTGCTTTCTTTCACCTTCTAGTTCCTTTTTCCTCCTTATCCACTCTTCTTGTATAGTTTGAGCGGTTTAGTAAGCCTCCCTCTCTCTTTCTCTGTCTCCCGACCCATCTCTCTTTCTCGATCCATCTCTCTCTTTATCACTCTCTCTCTCTCTCCCTGCCTCTCTTTCTCTTAAATGCTCTATTTCTTTCTCTTTCGACCCTTATTTATATGTTTTACTCCCAGCCCCCCAATCTCTCCCTCTCCTCTTGGCTCATCTCTATCTCTTTCTCTTTCTGTATCCCGACCCTTCTTTCTCCCTTTCTCACCCCTCTCTTTATATCCATCTATGTATCTCTTGTCCCACTCCCTCCCTCTTTTTCTCTCTCTCTCTGTCCTCTTGCTCTCCTCCCACTCCTTGCTCCTTCCCTCTTTTCCTCTCTCTTTCTCTCCTATTCCCACTCCTTCCTTTTTCCTCCCTCTCCTCCTCCTCCTCCCATTGCCTCTTTCTCTTCCTCTCTTCTCCACCCTCCATCCTTCTTTCATACTCTCTTTTAAAAGCTATCTATTATTATGGTTATATTAACATTTATGTAGTAACAAAACATTTACTTGTGAATCTAGCACGATTATACTATAAAGTTGAACATTTTATTCTAAAAGTTCTACAAATTAGTTAACATTTTCATAATTGTCACAAAACCACATTTGTTAACGAATAATATTTACTGCAAGAATTAAAGTTTGTTCAAATCTTATTATCGATTTCTATTCCCTCTTTATTCGTCAATCTGATTCTCTATTCCTTTAACTTTCATTTATGTTTTATAATTTTGAGCATTTTAGAAATTTTCTATAAAGTATTTTCATCTCCTTGATTACACTCTAATTTATTTATTTTTCTTAAACTCTCTCTATCTCTTTCTCGATCTCTCTCTCTCTTATAAAGCTATAATTTCATTAATTTTGTGCTTTGGTTTGCACCACTGTGTCCTTTCCTAAATCTCTTTTTTAAATTCTACTTTCTAAAAACAAATTAAATATGATAAATTAAATATTTACCCACTCAACCCCTTCTTTCTTTGGTCATTCATCTCTCTCTCTCTCTAATGTATTTTGTAGCAAGTAATTCACAGTAGAATGAGCCTTTAACAAATTTACTCATTTCCTAGACTATCATAAGATTTTATTTGCATTGAATGTTTATATAAGCCAAAGGTGCATAAACAAACTTGGAATACTACTAATGGCGAATAAACGAACGTCACTCTGTAACATTAAGCCAGAATATGAAAAATCCAGGCTAACAAACAAAAGTTGTAAAACAATGAGTCATTTAACATAAGCCTATATAATATACTACATTAATAAAACAAATATTACTTTAAGCCTTGAAAGATCTGATAAACCGACACAATCAAGTATTTATGTCGAACCATCTCCGCCGCGCAGTGCCATTGCCTCTTGCACTCTTCTTTGTCTAATGGCTCCCAACAAACTGCCAATAAACGCAAAGAAATAAAATTGCACATGATACGAAGAAATTAAAATAGCAACACGATACGAGCAAAGAATTTTGAATCAAATATTTTATATTTAAAATTTCAATTAATACTTACGAGCAAAGAATTTCGAATCAAATATTTTTTATTTAAAATTTCAATTAATACTTGCCTCTCACCTCAGCTATGGGATTATGTTGTTGTACAAACAACTAAATCGTAAAAGTATTAGCTAAATCGTTAAAGTACTTGCCTCACTCCTTAATGTGGCAAGAAATCAATCATTGGCCAAACTTCAGCAACAAAATATCACATAAGCAGTATTAGCTAAATCATAAAAGTACTTTGCAAACATGATCTTTAATAATTTTAGTTTGGCAATCAAAGATTCAATGTTCATAAATAGTAGTATTACTTGAAAAGGTCGAATAGTCAAAATCTTTCATAATATTAGCATAATTAGTCAAACAACAAGGAGAGTAAATGCGATTATAATTTCTATAGAGTATACTCTGTATTAACTTTAGCAAAAAAAGATACAAAGATGCATAAGAACATACAGTAGTTCCTCCATTTTTGGGGCTGGAAGACAAAAATGTAAAATTTTTGGAAGTTCGAAATTTAATAGCATTACACACCACTCTCTACCTCAAATCAGGCTATGCTTGTATACGTTAAGTGGAAAACAAATATGTTAGTAAAAAATCTAAATTATACTGAAGTTTTACCATACCCAATCTGACTCAAAAATCACCAAAATGCACTTTTAAAAGCG